GGCGCGGGGTCCGTGGGGTGGGCATGGGGGCGAGGAGCACAGGGGGGGCTTGGTCTGCTTGAGACTCGCCCAGTGGCAGTGGGGGAAGGGCAGGACCCAGAGCTGGGTCCAGCCCCACCCCCGCCCCACACTCAGCCCGGCCTGGCCGGTTCCCACAGACGCTGTCCCTGCCCGTGGTGGTGATCGTGCACGGGAGCCAGGACAACAACGCCACGGCCACCGTGCTCTGGGATAACGCCTTCGCCGAGCCGGTGAGCAGCCAGCGCCGCCAGGGGGCAGATTCCCACGCCCAGGGGGCCTGCCCCCCTTCACTTGGGGCCCAGATCTGCAGTGCCCTTGGGCCCCCCACATCAGCAGGTCCCTTGATCTGGGCCCCCCTCACCTGGTCCCTCCTGCAGTCCTCTATGTTCTCGCCTGGGCGGTCTCCCATTCCTGCCCCCATCCGGCCTCTGCGCCAGGAGCGCTGGGGGAAGGGGACAGGAGTTCTGGGGAGGAGGAGGGGGGGAGCTCTGAGAGTGGGGGGTGCAGGGGGAGGGAGAGGGGCGCTGGGGGGTGAGGGCCAGGGGGAGGGGGGTGCTAGGGGAGGCAGAGAGGGATGCTGGAGGGGGCGCTGGGGGTGAGGGCCAGGGGGAGAGGGATGCTGGGGGAGGGGGTGGAGGAGGTGGGAGGTTGAGGTGGAGGGGGACACTGGAGGGCGGCGCTGGGGGGTGAGGGCCAGGGGAAGGAGACACTGGGGGAGGGGGGCGATGCTCCCTGCTCCTGGGGCTGGAGCCCTCCCCGCTGGGTCCCCTGAGCCGGGCGCCGCCCCCTCCCGCAGGGCCGGGTCCCGTTCGCCGTGCCCGAGAAGGTGCTGTGGCCCCAGCTGTGCGAGGCGCTCAACATGAAGTTCAAGGCCGAGGTGCAGAGCAGCCGGGGGCTGACGAAGGAGAATTTGCTCTTCCTGGCGCAGAAGCTCTTCAACAGTAGCAGTGCCCAGCTGGAGGAGTACAGCGCCATGGCCGTCTCCTGGTCCCAGTTCAACAGGGTGAGCCGCGCCAG